TTTTTAAGTTCTCTGTTATGGTATATTTTGGAGACCAAAACCATAGGTGGCCTGAAGAAAGAGAAGTTTCTGGTGGATAGACATCCACTTGTTGGTGATTTTGTTTTTTCCCCCTACTTAAAGCTGTGAAGAGATCTAAGAGTAGTGTCTCACATAAGAAATTTTTTAGCTGACAGACATTAGAGGTTCAGGAACAGGAAGGGGGCACTTTGCACCCTGGTTCTTAGTCTCCTCTCTAAATGCCTGCTACTATGTGTGGTTGGACACAGGTTGCTGGAGGGCTCTTTGGATCTGAACCTAAGACTTCTTTAGCTGTCTTTGATGCGTAGCATACAAAACCACTTCAGTCATCTTGGAAGCTTTAAGTTTTTAAGAAAGCGAATGGTAGGGTGGTTACCCGTCTCTGAAAGTATCTAGCAGGCAAGAAGAAAAAAATATTTTAGGACTGCAGTGCGTGATTTATGCATGTAAATCCTACACAAATCCTGTTTTAGGGCCTTCAGATTTTTGGAGGAAGTGCAGGGGAAAAGAGAGAAGGTTGTCTGCTGAATTGTGGGCTAGAATTAAATGACCTTCCTGAGTTGAACTAGCTGAAGAAACACTTTTTTTTTAATGTCCAGCAATTTGTAGAATAACATGATTGATCATCTTCCCACCTATTAACACAGACATAAATAAACCTGAATATATGCAGTACATAGCAAATGAGGCTCTGTCCTTACTGAAATTATTTATTCAAATGTTTTTTAAATGATGATAAATAGTTCTAATAAAGTGAACCTTTTCTTCAAGGGAGTAAAATGAATATCAAAGTATGTAAAAAGTAGAGGTGACACATGGTCAATTAAAAATTACAGAAATTGCTTCTTTTGCTCAAAGCTATTACAAAACGTGACCTATGGAGAGAACACTGTTCTCAAACTGCTGTCTCTCTGAGAAGAGCACTTGGCATCTTCCAGGCCTGTACTCTGGACTGGCTTTAAATTGAGTGGGATGTCTGAAGTACACTAGGTGGTAAGGATTGTGATGGAGGGTAATGTAAGAGTTAACTTTTACTGTTTGCGCTACAAAAGTAGAAGTTTTGTCTAGGATATCTGTAGGGCTCTGCAAGGCAACAACCTATCAGCAGAATACAATGAAATAAAAGACTGATAAGCTTAATGAGGCCGAATTAGGCCTCGTTTTAAAATGCTTCTGTAAAACAGTATGTACTGAATACATTAAAGTTCCTTCATTTAAGAACTTCATCAAATGAGAGGATTGCTTTTTGCATATAAGCTGTGCATTAAATAACTTATTTTGAAGTGAAGTATGGGACAGAGCATAAAAATATTAACCCTTTCTTTGTGACAGAGATATCTGAGTATATGTATTTTTTTTGGTGTCTCAGTCCCTCAGTGAGTTTTGAGGATTCTGCGAAGGTCTTTTCTGTGTTGGAATAACAAGCTTAAAAGACTAAAATGGAAGTAAAAGAAAGTTGTGTCCATGAGTTAGATTACTTAGGAATAGCAAAGGTCTTCCATGTCTGCTTTTTTGGCTGAAAAATCCTAGAAAATATGGTGAAAGGGATCACACAGAACCACACAGACTATTCTGAGTTGGAAGGGACCCACAAGGATCATCAAATCCAACTCCTGGCCTTGCACAGGACAGCTCCAAGAATCACACCATGTGCCGAGCACATTGGCCAAATCCTTCTTGAACTGTGTCAGGCTTGGTGCTATGACCACTTCCCTTGGTAACCTGTTCCAGTGCCCAACCACCCTCTGGGTGAAGAACGTTTTTCTAATATCCAACCTAAACCTCCCCTGACATAACTGCAGCTCCTTCCCTTGGATCATGTCACTAGGCCCCAGAGAGAAGAGACCAGTGTCTGCCCCTCCAGTTCCCTCATGAGGAAGTTGTAGACTGCAATGAGGTGTCCCCTCAGTCTTCTTTTCTCCAGGCTGAACAAACCAAGTGACCTCAGTTGCTCCTCGTATGGCTTCCCCTCTATACCCTGCACCATCTTCATTGCCCTCTGTTGGATGGTCTTTGATAGTTTAGTATCTTTCTTATATTGCAGTGCCCAAAACTGCACAGAATATTCAAGGTGAGGCTGCTCCAGTGCAGAGCAGAGCGGGACAATCCCCTCCCTCGACCGACTGCTGATGCTGTGCCTGATGCCCCCAAGGACATGGTTGGCCCTCCTGGCTGCCAGGGCACTGCTGACTCATATTCAACTTGTCATTGAGCCCCAGAGCCCCCAGGTTCCTTTCCTGGCACTGCTCTCCAGCCTCTCGTTCCCCATTCTGTACGTACATCCAGGGTTGCCCCATCCCAGGTGCAGAATCCTGTACTTGCCCTTGTTAAAAGAAGAGAACACATCTGTTTTTTCTGACCTTAAAGCTTAAAAACCTTAAAAACTCTGCCAGAGCTATTCCTGAGAGATGTTTGTCTGACCTAAAAATCACTGGTGGTGATTCCCTGTCTAACCTTGGCAGTTAGATTTAGCACTCTACTATATCTAACATTTTTTCTCATCTCCTCTGCTGCATCTCAGGTTTGTACTGAGGACTCATGTTCTAGGGGAAGGTGAAAATAATTGTATTACTGCTTTCTTTGTAGCTTACTTGTCTGTAATAGTACTGGAAGTTATTCCCCTCAGTCTTTATCTCTGCTAGATTGAGGAACTGTGCTTATTGCCCTCTTTTTCAGATCCTGTTTGCTAGACTTCTGATAATTTCCATTACTTCTGCTTGATCCAGATTTCTCTTGAGCTGCAAGACTGAAAACTGGACTGAGATGAGCCTTATTTGCATGGTTCCCAGCTCTGCAACTGGCACTGAGGTTCTTGGGTCTCTCCATGCACTGAAGATATCAGCAAGGTCAAATGGCAGGGGTCTCCTTTCCAGGAAAGGATCCTAAAAACTGAATGCGTCAGTGTTCAGCTCAGTGGCACTGGAGTCTCTTGAGACATAACCCCTCACAGCAATGCTGAAAGGGTAAAAAAATCAATTAGTGCAGAGAGATAAGTAAATATGACCAACCATATTACTTATAAAATGCCAATGGAACAAATTATTTAGAAGCGTCTGTTACTAGAAACTAATTGAATACTGTGTAAATTGGAATATATAAAGCAGAATGCAGCCAAGAATTAATGAAAGAGAGAATAAATTGGCATGTGGATCCCCTCATCTGTTGTCCCTCCCAAAATAGCCTGTTTCTAGGGCCAGGATGGGTAGGTGTAGAACGATGAAACAACTGGACATGCAAACACTGTATGAGCATAATTATGTTCAAGAACAATGACGACATTGTTAAATGGCTGTAGAGGGTTACCACAACTCCCAGCAAACCCACTGGTGAATTGTGTGAGTAAAAGGAGGTTTTTCCATGTGTTTTGGCATTCACTGATCATTGGTCACAATCCAGCCCTTTCAACCCTTGCTCTTCCATTTGTAACACTGGTATTTTTGATGACTGAGTTTGAAAGGTCAAGTGGCAAGTCAGCATGCAAATGCTGATATGTTTTTCTGGTCAAAATATGGAACTGGGAGTCTCATCTTGGCCCAAATTTCAGTTTCCTTGTGGTGATAGGGATAGGATGAATCTGTTCAGCTGTGGTCCCTGAGAAATGCACCAGAGATGTGGTTCACCTCCACTACTGAAACGGTGTTTCTACTTTGTAAGAATAATATGCACAGGGGTACTTGGAGTGGGTTGCTCATTTCAGCAAGAGCCTTCTGCCAACGTTTTGCACTACAGTGATAACAACATAGTGAGTTTACCCTGGAACGGTATGCTGGCCTGGAAGATATAGTCTCATTAATAAGTTCTGTGTCTTTGTTCCAACCTGTTGGCAAAGAAGCAGAATGGAGATCAATACTAACGATAGATTATTGTAAAAATACATCATTTCACTAAACCAGTAAATATAAACAACTCCTCTTCTTAAACCACCTTTGAGGATAAAGAAAGAAAATAAGTAATAAAAAACATGCACAGGTGGATGTTATTCTGATAGTAATGTATTGAAAATGTTAGAAGGACTGCTAATGGCACAAAATTGTAGGCAGCGAGGTCACAAGGAAAGTACTGAATTGTAAAGGTTTTCCGTTAGTGGGTTAGCTCAAAACTCTCTGATTTGACTAATGTATCATCAAAGGTGTTCTATCTTGGACGAGGCAGTCTTGTTATCTGTCACGTATGTGATTTTGCTAGCACACTGGCACAATAGAAGATAGACGTACTGGAAATAATAATTAGCAATTGGAAAGATGTTCCTTTGTTTCCTACACAGGGACAGAAAACAAATAAGAAGTAACATATAGAGAAGTGGTTACCCTAAGAAATGTGTAGAGTTATGGTAGAATCAAAGCCATCTCTTAGAGACCACTATCATTTTTATTTAAAGTTGAAAGTAAATCTTTTTGTTGGATGATAAACTAAGCATAACTCAGGAGAGCATGGAATGTAATGATTGTTTAATTGTTACAGTTACATGTGCATTTTCTGCTGAAATACACTGCTGCGATATCGTATCTGATTCTTCAGTTCTTGACCTAATAACAATACAAGTTTTTAAAAGGCCAGAATTTAAATGTGTAACTGCCATCTAAGTTTTAAGACATACTTAAGCAGTGAAGAGTAGCAGTGTTACTAGAATTGAATTTTCAGCAGTTACTCCAGGAAAAGAGCATGGATGATAACTTTGAAACAATTCTTTGGAGCCCTATCAAATTAAAACTCTGTGAAAGTGCTGTGAAGCCTGTAGTTTTGTCCTTGTCATAGAATAAAGTAGCTTAGCATCTTGGTTATTTGACGTTTTCGATTGTAGACTTGTTAATTCATCCTTGAGCAAAACAGACTGATACTTTTTATCAAAAGGGGAAGAAGAAGAACCATCTGTGAAGTGGATTTTATTTTTTTGAGAGAGAGACATTTTTTTTCTTCAGGTAAAACAGGACCGTTTTGTCACTGTTTAATTTTCTTTTTTTTTTGAATTTAATTTCTAGCTGATAAATTTAGACGGAAACTGGAAGAACTGGAAAAAGAGAAAAAATCTTTAAAATTTCAACTTCCTTCAAGGCATCCTTCAGTCAGCAGTTTTTTGGATAGACTCATTACCCAAGTTCAGGCAGCACTGCGCTGGGCTGCTGATCATCGGTAAGTTTGCTGCTTCGTTATCATGTAAAATGGTGCTTCTTTTTTTCTCAAAACACAGAATACACTTTATGAATAATTTTAATAAAGAGTTTTAATTACCTTCTAACATATCAATATGGAGCTTGTTTATGAAAATCCCACCCTGCGACTCTTTTTTTTTTTTTTCTTCCTGCAATTCTTTCAGAATTGCCCTGAAAAACATTGATCATGATGAACTGGCAAATTAAATGGAACGTTTCTGATTGATGTTGAGTGGGAATGGGATTGAATCCTTGGCATGGCAGCTTGAGCATACAACAGCAACGCAGCTTGAGCAGCGGTTCCCCGTGGAGTTAATTCTGATGCTCCCTTTCAGGCAATGAAAGGATATTTAAATATAAAGTAAAACCAGATTATTTTTTGATATGAATAGATCTTTTGGAGCTTCCTTTTGTATGCTACTTGTTAGGTGGCAGTATTGTGCTCAGAACTGTACAAAGTCACAAAAATAGATTCTCAGCCTTGTCTTGAAGGGATAACAGCTTCAAAGATTGGGGGAATGCGAGATATGTTGGATGACCCAAGGGGGGTAGTTAGCTTAGGAAAAAAAAAGTTGCCTCTATTTCTTGTTCTGTCTTCGTCTATGCTCCTAGTTACTCTTGTTAGAAGTAAGAGGATGCTTTATAGGTATTGAAAGCTATTCTCAAATGCAATAGCACAAATGAAACAAGGAAAACCTTTTGTTTTCTGGCAACTGGTACATATAAAGGCTGCAGTGTGCTAGTCAATATGTTTGGGTGTAATTTTTGATAGACATGAAAATTAGATAAAATCAGTAAAGACAATAGAATTTTTTTTTTTTGCAAAATTTGAGAATCTGAAGTTATTTTTAGCCTCTGTTTATAGCATCTACTAATATGAGAGGTTTAAAACAAGCTGCACTCCTTCAGAGCTGTTTCCTTCTACCTTCTGAGGCTCTAAGAGACTGTTTTACCATTCCTTTAAGATTAGGATACACCATTCTCTATTTTGTCATTGTGTTCACTCCATGCATTAATTTGTAATAATGATTTTGACTCTAAAGGTGGTGGTGTCTCTGGTGTCATAGAAACTGAGTCACTAAAGCATCCTTCAGCTACGAAGTCTGCTTATTTTTGTCCCTATATAATATATATATACAATTTTTTTAATATATAAAATAGATGTTATATATAGTTATCAAAGTGTTCTTGTTCTTTGTATGATTAGATCTGTAACTCCTCTCTTTGCACAGGTCTGAGCGGTGCCATTTTTCAGGGGCAGATTAATATCCTCTTTTCTGTCTAATACACACTCCTTTTTTTGAGCTTGAGTTTGACTGTTGTTGTTGTGACCTTTTTTTTTTTTTGCTCATTTGATTCTTGCAGCCTTTTATACTGCTTTGTCTGTGGTCTGATGCTCTTGTTGATACAGCAAGCATACACTTTGTCTTCTGTAAAGAGGTTTAAGACTTTTCCAAAATTATTTTTAGATGATACAGTGGAAAACATGACTGCTTCTTCAAGGAAAATTTGTAGGCTCCAGTTTTTATTTTAATTTTGAACTGGAACAAAAGCAGTATACCCACGACTTCTTTTTTGGTTTATTGTTGTTGTTTTTTAACCTGGAAAATTAAAAAGATGATCAGACTAGCCCCAGAAGACCAGATCATTGCAGTTTTACTGTAAGTAAGCCAGTCTCATCTTTTTGCAATGTTCTAAAATGAAAAGTATGTTTGACAGGTTGTTTAATATACAAAGCTGAAATTCATGCCCTGGTTTTGTTTTACTTAATTAAATTATGAGATGAGTTTTTAGGTGAATGCATTTGATGTTGACACAGGATATTGGGGGCAGAGTAGAAGCCAGATTTGGTTATGTTTAGCTTAGGAAACAGCGCTGTGCAGTCACCCAGGTTTGATGAGATCAGAGAGATCTTGTTTCTGTTCCATCAGTACCAAGTAGGCAGATATACATGGGATTTCTGAGAAGGTTCTGAGAATTTTTCCTAAACTTTGATCGACCACTTGGAAATTTATTATGTACCTCTTTAGGAAAGATGTAGGTCCAACTGAAGGAAGGTGGCTTCAGAGCTGCTGGGACGTGTGGTTGGTTGGGTCCACAGGAACCTATCATGATTGTAAGGCACAGTGATGGTCTTAACACCTCCTAATACAGATGTTGCTTTGATCTGTGCTGTTATTACAGAAATACAGTTCCTGTCATTATGTTTATTTTGCTTAATGATATTTATTTTAGGGCCAAGGTTTTATTTTGTTTTTTTCAGTACATTCTTCAGCCTATAGAGAGGGAGTAAAGGATGCTGGTCTTTTGATGGTCCTGGAGAATAGACGAGAACCTCTTGTTCTACAGGCTTGTTCAACAGCTGTGCATGGAGATCATAATTGCGTGATTAATCATGCTTAAACCAGACTTGTGATGCATGTTTTGTGTGTGGCATGGATATATTTGCTTTGCAAGATTACAGTGGGAAATCGTACTTCAAAAACATTCTTTGTTTGAGACTGTTTTTTAAACTTAATACTGAAATGCACCTATACCCTCTATGTGGAAATGCATGTACTTGTCCGTAGAGATGGACACAAAAATGCAATTGGCCTTGCAAGTGTATGCACCCTTAAGCAGATTTGCATTGTTTGCAGGTGCATTTTGATAGGCTGATTATAGAATTGATACTTAACGTAATTCACTGATTTTCTTGGGGTCCAGTCATGCTAACATTTACAACTGGGGGTTGTACAAACCACTGTGAGGAAACCCACTGACTGCAGTTTTGAAAGAACTCGCTGTGCAAGAGAGAAGCAAAATTAGGCATCGTGGAACAAACACTCCAGATGATCTCTAATGTAGTCTCTAAAAGCTGACAGAAGCTGCAAAAATGGCTTTGGCAAGTTTCTAAACTTCTGTCTAAGAGACATATTTCTCTGTATTGATAGAAACTAGATGCCTTAGTTTTGTCTCTTTCAAGGCAGTGATGGATAAATTTCTGAAATATGAAAAAGCTGGGGGAAGCCTGAAGCTACACAAGTTTTCCATTTTCTTTCTTCAGCATGTTGTAGAAACAGTGTAAATGTTTGAGATAACAAAGGAAGATATGCCAAGGAAAAATCTCTTGTTCCCTAACTATATCTGTTTAAGATCTAATCATTCTGGTGATGGAGTGTTGTGACTCTAAAGGTAACATGTAGCATTCTGATCTATTTAATCTTTGAGACATTGATACTTGTCGATAACGCTAATTTTTAGCTTTTGTCATGTTTTTCTCAAAGGGTTAGACATGAAGAAAACGATCTTTGTCATGAAAAAGAACATAAACTTTTGAGATCAACTTACCAGGAGAGAATGCAGGTTTCGGCCACAAAACGAAGCCAGCTTTTTCAAGAAAAGAAATGGTTACAGGTAACTGGACTGCAGAGTTCTGTGTAAGAACCAGTGCTGTGTGGGGAAAAGCTTGTAAGCTGTCACACAGAATTAAATAAATTTATTGTAGTAGCAACTTTGCTTCTGTGTTGCAATTAGAGCCTTGGCTGTAGTCCAGTTGATAATCTAAGTGATGATTGGAGATGGCAGCTGCAGGAGTTGTGTTAATCTCATTACAGAGAAGCAGAGCTAGAAGGCTTGGTGGCTTGTGTGCATGCTTAAACTTTCCTCATTATCTTTTTAAGTGCTTTTTATGTTATAATTTGCCATCTTAATATTAAACTGATCTTCAGAAGTTTTTTTTCTGAAGACAAAAAGTTTTCATCTGCTTCTGGTTAGAATTTATTATAAATACATGATTTACCAGCTTTTGTTCCTGAAAGATGATTGATGCTTTTCATAAGGATGAAGGAATCATCATGAAGCAGTCAGCATTTGCTAACAATAGCTTTACACTGACATGTGATGTCACAATGTGGGCAAATGGAATGTTTTTAAGATGGCTTCTGTCCAGTTTTAAATCTGCAAGCCTTTTAAGCAAAATTTAGGTCTTTTTTTTCACTGTCCTTCAAAACTATGAGTTTACTGTCTAGTTATAAGTCTTTTAGACCTTGGAGATCATAGTTGGCAATGTGGCACCTTAGAGAGCTAGTAGACTTAATTTTCCTTTTTTTATGTGGTCTTACCTTAAAATCTCTTTTTCTTTGGTGGATCCAATAGTAAAATAATCTGTGTGTTTGTGTACACACTCGTGTATGTGTATATATATATATATATATATATGAAACCCCAAAAGACAGAAAAGCATTTTAGGTGATCATCTCAGTCTTACTTAGCTGAAGAAATCTTTTCTATCCTAGTCATCACCACTGTATTGTTTAGATTTACTTCGTCAATGTATAAGAGTAGTTCAACAGTATCACTGTGCAGAAAACTATTTTTGATCCAGACATTCAGCAGCCACCTCAAGATATTGAATGGAAAACTGCTTTACTTGAAACTCCACAACAGCTAATGTTTTTCTTGTTCCAACTGAATCTTTATTTCTTTGTAGTTATTAGGGAGAAATTACCCCATTGTTGTACAGGCATGCTATTTATTAGCATTTAATCAAAATTATTAGGAATTCAAGGTTTGGGAAAGGCTAACCTGTGATGATTGGTTGCTTCCAGTACCCCTTAAAGATTGGTCCTGCCCAAAATCTTGCATGATCAGAAATAATTTCCCCCCCTCCCCAACCCCACTTTTCTTTACTTTCCCTTCTTCCCTCTCTCCTGGTGCTTCTGCATTTGTCTTCAGGGATTTGAAAACCTGTGACAGTATCTAAAATTTACATAATTATGTTTCTACTGCAATCTGTAGTTCATGGAGAACACAGGCCTGTAAGTGAAGCTGGAGGTTCAGCATCAGTACTGATTAGCTGTCGTGTTAGAAATATCTGTTCAAGCTCAAATCCACAAAATAAAACTTCAGCTTATGTTTAGTGGGCTGAATATTGTCTGCTGCTCCATGGTGAGACTTCAAGTGCTTTTTATCTGTCCCTGGAGGCTAACCAAGAGCACATTAAAGGCTTCTTGGCATTTCTAGAAAAGAACGCGGGAGAATTCCAGTCTACTGACTAAAATTTCCATGCTCCCAGAAATGCCTGTGAACTATTCCCAAGCAGGGCAGCTTTCTCTCTGTGAATGCAGATTGTGTGCTTCTGCTATCTATTACTGTTGTAATAACACTTCAGTACTAAAAGTGTGTTTGTAAACCCAGATTCTGTTCATCTTCCTTTCTGTTCCCATGTAGGCTGCTTATTGCAGTGATTGCAATTACTACTTTTTCACAGAATATGTAAGGTCTTTGTATTAAGTAGGACCTATTAAGATTTTGGCAGTATTCCCAAACCAGTAATACAGACAGAATTGTCCTTTGTGCACACTAAAAGCCTAATTTGAGACTGAAAGAAACAAAACTGATGTTTTTTGGTCTGCTGACCTTTCTGTCCTTGACAAATGCTTGTGAGTTGAAACATGGGCCACAGCATTCTCTTGTTCCTAAATCTAAAACCAAAAAAGGAGGAAAGTAATTGATGAATCTAGTGTACAGCACTATTTATAAGTTGAAATTTTTGAGCCAGCCAACCTTTGAATGTGCAAGGACTGTTTCTTCTTGTTTAAGTGATACTGCAGAAGCTAGTTACAGTGCAGCAAACCTGAAAGTGCGTTTGTTGACAAAATGAGCATTAATGAACTAAACTTCACATAAATTACATTGAAAACATTAAAATAATATTAAGGTTTCAAAGTGAAGCTCCGAAAAAGCAAAGAAATGCCCAAGTTAGTTATCTGTGCATGGTATGTATGTTTTTTATGAGTCTTTAATTATATAAGGGTGCCCTCTCCCCCCCGGATCTCTGCCTCATACATTGCTGAAGATGGAAAGTGTCTGTTCAGATATTCAGAATACTGTGTTATCTTCTTTTCTCAGTATTTGGTCTTAGAACCCCTTTACTGTATGCCCCTCAAACCCTATTTTGGATTCAAATTTATTGATTAGTGAATGGACTCTTTTTACAGTATTAATCAATATGACATCTTAGTGATTCAAAACATCTTATTTTATCTGTGTAACACCACTTCAAGTGAAGAGATATTCTTATTGCCATTTTAAAGATGGAGAATGAAGAAGTGAATTTCCATAAAAAACCACACTGTTTCTAATGTCAGTTTTGTAATGCCTAGTTATTTACCTGTTAAAGGTTTAGTTTTGAGTTTGTGGTTTTAATTTTTTTTTTTTATTTTTATTTTTAATTGGACTAAATGGGGTCAGAGCATGGAATTGAGCTTTGATTTCTGTTGAGAGTCTGTAGATGGCCTGTCAGAGACCTCTCTTGCGGGTTGTATTAAAAATGGTGAACGTAGTCTGTGGCTGCATGTGAAGATAATAGTTTAAGTGGCTTGCAAGGTTTCACAGAGACAGTAAGAAATGTAGGGAATAGAAGCAAATTCTTCAGTATGACATTCAGCTAGTTTGACAAGTACTCCTTTCTCCCCCTCTCCCCCCACCGTATTTCCTAATTGCTTTTCAAATTCTGGTACAAATGAGCCAAGGGCTATATATTAAATACGTTTTACTCGGCAACGCAGACTTCTTGAAGATGCAAGCTGTCTGTTGGGTTTTCAAGGAAAAACCTGTACAAGGATGAAATGCAAATTTGTGAAACTTTTTTTTGGGCCCCTCACTTCAAGGAGGGCATTGAAGTGCTAGAGCATGTCCAGAAAAGAGCAATGAAGCTGGTGAAGGGTCTAGAGTAAGTCATATGAGGAGCAGTTGAGGGAGCTGGGGTTGTTTAACCTGGAGAAGAGGAGGCTCAGGGGGAGTTCTTAGCACTCTCTACAATTATCTGAAAGGAGGTTGTAGCCAGATGGGGGTTGGCCTCTTTTCCCAGGTAACTAGTGACAGAACAAGAGGAAATGGCCTCAAGCTGTACCGGGGAAACTCAGGTTGCCCATCAGGAAGAATTTCTTCGCAGAAAGAGTGGTCAGGCATTGGAACAGGCTGCCCAGGGAGGTGGTGCAGTCACCATCCCTGGCAATGTTCAAGAAATGACTGGATGTGGCACTTAGTACTATGGTTTAGTTGACAAGGTGGTGTTCGGTCAAAGGTTGGACAGGATGATCTTAGGGGTCTTTTCCAACATTAGTGATTGTACACATCTATGATTCTAAAAATTATAACGTGCTCTTGAAGAAACATCAGAATCACAATGCACAGAGTTTGAACTTCTAGCAAGATTGGTGCAACTGAGGTTGAAGTTCTGGACATTTCAAGTCCAGGGACGGATTTTGTGCTCTTAATTAAAATGAAGTGCTAATTATCAAAAGAGCTGTCCAGTTAGTCAGTGTTTCTCCACTTGCATCCTGTGCCTGATGTTGGACTGGAGGCCTAGAGGAACCATTGCGGGGATATTCTGCAGGAGGACAGATCACTTCATTGCCAGTCTGTAGAGTGAGGTTCTGTTATATGGTTGAACTGAGATTTGTTTGTTTGTTTGTTTTTCCTGAAAATTTTTAACTTGGGAAATACCTGTGTATTCTAAAAGTAAAAGATGGCTGACAGTGAGTGTTGGAAGAGAAACCTGGAATTTGGTGTTGAAAGGGAGGAGTTTTCAGACTGTTGGAAGCGCTGGAGTTTCTAAATACAACCAATGTAAGAGTTTTGCATGTCAGCAAAAGGATGTCTTCTCATTTAATATTGTGCTAAATTGTACAGACTTAATTCATGCTAACTCTTGAGACTTGTACTGTGGTTTTTTTAGGGGCAGAGGGGTTTCTTTAACGGGGTTTATATAGTAAACTCTGGTCTCTGTTCTATGCAGAAAGAAATTGAAGACCTCCGAACAAGACTGACCATATTAGAAGCAAAAGATCAACAGCTAAGAAGAGAAATTGAAGAACAAGATAGACTTATTCAGTCACAGGACTGTGAACTGGCTACTTTACTTGGTTGCATTTCTTTGAGAGAACTGCAGGAAATAAGCAAGGCTGTGGATGACACTTTAGCAGCCTCCTATCAAATTCCATTCAGTCTAGATCTTCCAGGAACAATAAAAAGGTATCTAAATTTCAGTTTGGATGTAGAGTCTTGTATCTCCCTCAATGTTCTGTTGAATTGGCTGTCAGTTGCTTTCTTTGTGATAGTGCCAGCTAATTAGCTGCATTCAGACTCTGGAAAATTTTCTAGGAAGAGATGTTGAAATTCTAATATTGATGTACTTCCTCAGGAAGGGGTTGTAGTTATTTGAAGGTCTTGCACTTAATGTTTTTTTATGATAAAGGGTCACCTATAGAGAGCATATGCATCCATCAATTGTTAATACCTATCATCAGTTTACACCATTTCTTCTTGTTAACTGGTGGATTTTTTTTTTCCCAGTTTGTTATAATGCAGTGATTAAAACATTTCTCACAACCTGAAAGTGTGTACTAGGCACCATTCAAATAAATATTAGAGATGCTGCTTGCTTCAGTAAACTCATAATCATAATAAAGTCTGATGTGATGAATGTTAAGCTCAGACAGTGGACTTGAGGTAGTGGGGGAAAGGAGGCAGCGTGAATACTTCTGGGACACCTACAGTTACATGCACAGCATATGATTCCTTAAATGGAAAAGTAGCTACTCTTGATAATGTTTTGGAAATAACCTCATCTTTGTTTACAAAAGCAATAGAAGTACTTGGGCCCTAGACTCAATTGGACGCTGGTGATAGGACTTTGAAAGTGATACTACTGCTGAGAAAATAAAATTCCTGTTTATGCTAACTTGTATTTCTCCCAGATAAGCAATAACTACGTTGCTTGCAGTTTCTTTTCTCCCTTCGTGTTTATTTGGTTTAGTTTGATATTAATGTTCATGAGAAATTGCTGCCCACCCCCAGCCTACTGGGGGGTGAAGGGCAGAATGTTGGAGACAGTGCTGATGCTGTGCCAGCACTGCTCAGCAATAGCCAAAACACTGGTGTGTTATCAGCAACTTTCTAGCTACCAGTGCAAAGCACAGCACTGTGAGGGCTGCTAAGTTAGCTCCATCTCAGTTAGACCCAATAAAGGATGCAAAAATGCTGGTTTGGGCTGCACAAGTAAACATACTTAGGCATCTGTGAGAGCCTTTGGGAACAGTTTAAATCTCCTATTTCAGGTTATAGTAGGGTGTTTGTGTAAAACCCCAAAGCCTTTTCTGACCATAACTGATGGTAATGATGTAAATGCCTGCCTATGGCATGGTCACATAGGAGACAGAGTCCTTGGTTCAGAATGTGGAAGCTCTGTGTTTGAGGTCCTCTGTAGCCTGCCTAGATCTGAACCTACAGACTCAGGGCAAGCTCTTACCTACCAAGGATTTCAGTGTCCTGGCAGGGAGCATGCTCCATCACAGTTCTTAGGCTGGGCCTTATTGTATCCAGGAATGCAAAAGTAGAAATCTAGCAAAAGCCAACAGGCAAGAGGAGTCTGACTCTAGGAAAGTGGAGAAGTTTAATAATTATAGCACTCAACTAGATGAGAGAGACCTGGTGGTTGTAGTTTTTGAGAGAGTTGGCAACAGTCCCTCAATTAAGTGCTAATGTTTTGATTTTGGGGTTGTTTTTTTTCCTTCCTTCTTCATAACTTAAAAGCAAAGTGAACTGGTAGGACCATGTCACAATCTGGCTGATGCAGCCTTTCAAAGGTACCACTTACTGTCTATTGAGAAGCTCCTCTCCTCTCTGCAGAAGATGGTGGCTGTCTTTGAATTAAAATCTGCCCGAGTGTTGTATATGCTGTGTCTGTTACTCTATTGGAAAGTGCACAAGCTGTCTTGGGAGCACAGACTGAAATCTCCAGTCTAGCTGTGAGACTCAACCACTTGACTTTATGATTTCATCACTTCCTTGCCTTTGGTTCTCAAATTTCTTTCCCCAAACCACTTGCTACTTTAGGTAGCTGAAAGCATCCCAGGTTGGTGGTCAGCAGCCACATTTCCAGCGAGGGTTCTCTGCTATTTCTTTCTTTCAGGGCAGGCTATATATCTGGAAGGGCTGAGGAGAAGAAAATGCCCTTGCAATGGCTGCAGTTATTTAACAGTGAGAGTTTGTTCAGTTTGACAGTGAGCTTAAGTGACAGGTGGCTTCCTTTTAAAGCTATGCAGTCCATCATATCTTAGGTACAGTGATCTTCTGTCTGCATCCAGTCATGTTCTGTTCTCTTTCTTTAAGCTGAAAAAGCAGCATGCAGATAGTAAGACATTTGGTGTGGGTATATGTCCTGTGTGCCTGTGGGCATCACCTACATTGTCATACAGTTCTAGAATAATTTAGGAGGTCATTTTGTTAAACTGCTCAAAGCAGGACCACAATTTCCAAATAAGATCAGGCTGCTCAGGGCTCCATCTGCCCAAGTTTTGCGTATCTTCAAGAATGGAGATTTTGCAGCCTTGCTAGGCATCCTACATTTCATCAGCCTTGCTATGAATTTTTCCTCTGTCTCATATCTAGCCAGAATTTCCATGGTTGCAACTTGCATTGGCTTATTCTAAATCAGTACTTCTTGTGAAAGTATGTTAGGTAACAGGTTAAAATACTTGATTGGTGCTAGTTCAGCATATTACTTTTAAATTCCAAAGTCTTGGGATATTTAATCTTTAAGAGATTTTTCTTGAAACGTGCATTTTATTTTATGAATAATTGCTGAAAAAAAAAAGGTTTTCCAAAGTTTTTGTTTCTCACACAGATAGCTCTATTACTTATGAGTGTATACTGAAGATCAGTGTGTATGTGGAAAGTTGTTCAGCATTGATGGGCTGTACATTACAAGTTCCTGGCTATTGGGTTGCAAGATACTATGTATTTATTCCGACAGCGTTGTGCTAGTCAGTAAAGTACTGCTATAATGTGGTTTTGCATAAATATTTGCTGACTACCTGAATTGCATTCACATTGGAGTAACAAGGCAGAGCTAGTGCAAAGCACTCTTAAGACAATCTGTGCTGTAATGAATTTTATTCAGTGGCTTGCAGCTCACTATAAAATAAAAATTATTTTTCTTCAACTAAATGCTATTAAATACAGCATATTGAAGCAAACTTCGAGGAACATGAGAGAACATATAAAACGAAGAAGGTTGCCCAAATAAAAGTATGAAGGAAGAAGAGAGCGAGTCAATGTAACATTGGGATGAGCATTGTTTCTAAGCTTATTTTTCTTGTCAATTGTTATTTTTTCAGGAATATTCTTTATTTTGTCTTGTTTGTCTTTGGTATGTGGTAAACTTTTTGAAAACAAAAAGCCTTTGTCAACAACTACAGCATGCTTTGAGTTTGAATAATTCAGAAATGTTAGGCATGTTACTCTGGGACCTTTCTTTGAGGGCTGTTGGAAGATGGGGTTAAAACCTGCCAGTTAATGGGCAAAGAAATATGCTTTGGCAGGGAATTCTTATTGAGATTGAGACTACAGAATGTGGTTGTTGTGCTCATCCAGAGAGGCTTAATTGCTCTTGGTAAGCTAAAGGGTGTAATCATTTTTATAAAACGAGGAAATTGCAGGGCAAAAGCTCACTTCACTTCCATGGGGTTGTGTGGAGATGTTAAAAGGTGGGACCGGCTGGTGTTGTGTGCACTGTGACACATGCTAGTGTTTTAACTAAAGGCAACATACTGAAATCAGAGGAAAATGGGTATGAGTGTTTCAGTGTGAGGCACTCTCTGCTGGAGTTTGCAAAAGGTATCAAAATATATAATTTCCTTATTTGCTACTGAAGTGGACACCATTTCAGAAACACATGTTTTTTAACTAGTGTAAGTTGAATTTCCCAATTATAAAGTTAAGACCATGTTAATTATTTGACTGACTTCAGAACCTCTCGTTTCCTTTCTTTTTTTGTTTTTGGTTTGTTTGTGTTTTTTGGGAGTTTTTTTTGGGAGGTATTTTTTGATTTTTTTTTTTTCATGCCACAATAAAATCTGGGGAAATCTCTTATACTTCAGTTCATATTTAGTTTCATTTAGCGTTTTCTTTGTTTTTATCCATATCTATAGATGCATGTGTCCATACAGTATGTTGTGCTTAAAATAAATTGCAAAGTTCCATCTGGACTATTGTCTGTGCACTGATTGCTGGCTGAAAGAAATTCAATTAATTACCTTTAAAAATATTTGAATGCTCCACCTCTTCCACTTTTTGCATGGAATGATTTTTAATTAACAGGAATTTGTTCTACAGTGGCTGTGCGGGATTTCTGAAGATAGGGAAATTTTCTATTGATATGTATTAGTTATTACAGTATGGCCAGTGCTGCAAGAAACTGAACTTGAAGACTTATGTAGCCAGTTCACTTTGCTATCGTGATGCTTGGAGCTCATTTGAGAAAGATGAATTCGAAGTGAAATACAAATGCTCAGGGTGTAAACCTTTTTAGTTGGAATGTACTCAAAGCATTCAGCAACTTCAGTTGAGGGCAAAGCCTGATCAGGTGTGTTTTTTAAGAGAACTTGGTTTACTTGGGAAAAATAGGAAAAAAGGCTTTTATATAGTTTCACACAGTAATGTAGGAAAGTAGCATTTAGAATGGGCTGTCGTGTTTTGTCATTAGGAGAGACTGCTTGGTACGCTTTTTGTTGATCTTCAAAATATATTCTAGTCAAATTAGAAGTTAGCAAGCTACACGAAATTACCGAGTAAGCCTTAATGTCGCCATGTTTATTGATATTAGCCTTTCAACAAAAATCTTAGCTTTAAAGTAGTAAAGCAAATTGCAATCGATTCTTTCAAAAGGATATCTGTTGTTTACTAGAAAACATGCAGTCATATCTAGGAAAGTCCTTTTTTACTGTGTGGTTTGAGTTTTAATTTGACTATTTCTGTGACAATGCCTACATATCAAAAATATCCTTTGGGAATAGAAGAGTATCACAAATACAAAGAACAGAGGGATGAAGTGCCTTTATGGCATCAAAAAATTTATATTACAGTGCACAGGCTGCTAATGTTCGTGACTCTTTGCTGGGCCTGTATGTGGAACAGCAGAGAACCGAATTGTACTTTTAATGCCAGATACTCTTGGAGTCTTCTGGATTTAC